ATTTCTTGGACAATTTTGTTTAGAATGTCCAGATTCCTTACACTTATTGCAAAAAGAAATTTGTTGGGTTTGTTGAGTTTGTTGTACTTGTTGTACTTGGAGCGCTTGGTGAGTTTGCTGGACATGTTGAAAAGATTGATTTCTTGGACAATTTTTTTTTAAATGTCCAGATTCCTTACACTTATTGCAAAAAGAAATTTGTTGGGTTTGTTGAGTTTGTTGTACTTGATGTACTTGGAGCGCTTGGCGAGTTTGCTGGACATGTTGAAGAGATTGATTTCTTGGACAATTTTTTTTTAAATGTCCAGATTCTTTACAATTATGACAAAAAGAAGTTTTTTGGTTTTGCTGAATTTGTTGCATTTGCTGTGTTTGTAGTGCTTGCTGGGTCTGCTGAGTATGTTGAAGAGATTGATTTCTTGGACAATTTTTTTTAAAATGCCCAGATTCTTTACAATTATGGCAAACAGTAGTTTGCTGTATTTGCTGAGTCTGCTGGATTTGTTGAGTTTGTTGCATTTGTTGTACTTGAAGTGTTTGTTGAATTTGCTGGGCATATTGGAGAGACTGATTTCTTGGACAATTTTGTTTAGAATGTCCAGATTCCTTACACTTATTGCAAAAAGAAATTTGTTGGGTTTGTTGAGGTTCCTTTCTGGTATCTGGTGCAGGAGATTTATTGCGCTTATTTTTTGGTGAAAAAGAAGGTTCTTGTAAATTATTTTGTACAGATAATTGATGAAAGTTTTTATTTTCAAAAGATTTGCTGTGCTTTTGTTTTAGTAAAGGCGGTTTCTGTAAAAATTGAGGTGCAATCTGTGTTGGTAGATTATTAAGTTGCTGATAAGTTTGAGTATTCGAAGTAATGATTATTTGCGTAGAAGTATAGGATTCTGCATGTTGTTCAAGTGGTTTATTCATTTCCGTCGGTTTATTATTAAACACTTTTGCTATAAACTTCCTAACTAGCCTATGAGTATTACGAAATGTTTTTGAGATATATTAAGATGATAAGAAGAAACTATTAAGGTATTTATATTTCATTTAAGCTATGGAATTTATATATGAGTGAAATCTAAATATAGATTATTTAATAATCGATATTTGGATTTTCTGATAATCTAATTAGTTTTAATTATAATTCTAAAACAAAATAAATCTTAATGCAAGTTCACCACGAACTCCGAAGGTCCATAGATTTACGTGATATCATATAAATGACAATAATATTATAATTTAATGTAAGTGTAAGGTCCCTTAACAATTTACATAAATTTATATTTCTTTTTGTGAAAATCCGTAGGATGTATAAAATATTTGTAAGAGATTATGTAAGTTCGCGATGTTATACTTTAAATATTTTTTGTTTTTATACAATTCTTGTATTTTATTAGACAAATAGTCATTATTAAATTCTATTTTCAGTCGGTTACACATTGTTTTCTTCTACGAAAAAATTTTTAATATATAATATCGATATAGTAAATTTGGTTGTAAAATATTGTACAGTATACATTAAATCGGTTACCGGAATTTATATCAAACTGTTTTGTTAGGACATAAAACATCATGACCTTTTTTCTAGGTAAGAAACTATATGAAACTACATAAACTTACATAATTTCTTAAGAATAATTTATGCATTCTACAAACCTTCAGTAAAACAAGTATAAATTTGCATACGTATGAATTATTAAATAACACCATTACATAATATTATTATCATCTATGTAATATCACGTAAATATATGGACCTTCAAAGTTCGTGATGACAGCTTTTTATTATAATAAGTTGCGAATTACTGTTAAATGTTCGGGACTAATATTACATATTAAGGGAGTCGGTTAACGTTAACGTTAAAGCGGAATTAGTTCATATATCTGATATGATCTACATACTGCATAAATTGCATTCTTGATATGGGTGTCGACAAGCGAAAACAGGGAATTGTGAGTTTTCCGAAATTAATTTTACAGATCAAACCCCGAAAAATGTGATTTAACACACCATATAATTTATGCTGTGCTTAATTTAAATTTATCAGGAATCGGAAAGCGGAGCCGGCAAAAATCGAAATTGCTGGTTTTCGCTTGGCAGCACTCATATCTATATATGGGGTCTTTGCCTTGAAAATCACCTTCCGAAAACATAGTAAATATTAAAATTTTTACGCTATATAAAAGATTAAAATTTTAGTAATAAAAAGCTTTTAAATTATATAATTATAAATTTCATAAACTAATGCTTCTATAAAATATTCTTACAAATTGTTTAAATTTTTTGAAAAACTTTAGTCTGATTGAGAAATAAAATTTTGGAATTGTTATAAGCTCTACTTATAAAAATTCCAAAATTTTATTTCTCAATCAGACTAAAGTCTTCAAAAAAAATTAACCGATTCGAAATAATATCTTATAGAAGCATTAGTCTATGAAATTTATAATTATATAATTTAATTACTAAAATTTTAATCTTTCATATAGCGTAAAATTTTAATATTTACTATGTTTTATTATAGAAAAGATCTTCATTCCGGTGATCACTGTGAGTGTACGTCGATTTGTAAATTGAAACTCACGTGGAACATATAGCTTTAAACGATCTCTATTTACAATGCAACAGTGACAATTATTAATCGATAATGACCAGATAGCCTATATCAATATAACGAAAAAAATTTTAGGTTATAATAAGTTCGAATAATTGCTAAACACTTAGGTGTTAGCAGATCATCAATAAGTCGAGTTCTTAACCAATTTTAAAGATATGGTTATGTTGAAAGACTTCTGCCACTTGTAAGAAAATCAGTCTACTAAACCTGAATGATATATATAAAATATCTTAAGACTTTAATTGGAGAAGCTTAAGTATACAATATTGGGCAAAATTTGTTGAATAACGGTAATTTGGCAAACCGGAGCAAATGAACACGTGCCGCTAAGCGGCACGTGTACCAATCATTTGCCCAGTTTAGCCAAATTATCGTATTCGACAAATTGCTAAGACAGATGGCAATTCATGATCATAAGAGTTTGCCGGATAACATAAATTTATTCAAATGTATAATACGTATACGCAAATTGAATTGTGTAAGCTAAGTACATTATTAATAGGGATGTTACGGTCCGTCCCAGTCCGGTCTTAGTCCCAAAGACCGGTCCTAGCAGAGGACCGGGGACTGGACC